TTATCTTCAAAGTGTTTCTTATGTCTGTATCTTTCATTGGAATGGGTACATGGTGAAGAAATACTGCAACACTCTCAGGAACATACAGTCTATGAAAAGGTAAGGTCTCAGCACCTACTCTTTTCATTTCCCATAATTTTTTATTTCACACTTAATAATAGATTACCTGCTAATTAGGGAAACAATACCTTGAACAATACCTGCCAATGTAATAGGCAATAGATGATATCCACATTGCGCGACGTTCCGGATCTTTTGAAAACAGTGGAATATAACTGAAGATCCATTTCGTTGTCTATACTATACGTACAGCCAACGGAACAATACGAAATACTCATTTTCAACAGCCAAACAAAACGGAAACGTATAATCCGACTTGCAACTGACAGGAGCCAAATGGACGTTTTTGTTTTATTGCCGTCCAGTAACAAAGTCACGTGACCCGTGCAAGTCCTCTATAACCCGAGACCGCCTAAATCTTAAACAGCGAATAGACATCTTTGATGTACAAAATATGAGGTACGATTGGGTAAAGCTACTTTGGTTTTGTCATCTGTCATATCTATTCTTGTTTCATATCTGGCAGAAGTACGTTTGCTACTGTCGTTGATGGCATATGGTCCTGTCGTTTGTCTGTTGTCGTATTTGACAACAACTTTTAAAACAGGTAGTAAACGCCGAATAAGCATGATAGTCAATTGCATTCCCCAGAAGAAACAAAGTTAGGTATACCCCGGCGACGATAGACAATGTAATGAATGCAACAGCTTGCTCCTATGTGCTACGAAGTCTGTACTTGGCGTAGCCTACTGGATCGCGATCTGAGAGATCCATTCGTTATTTTGCTCATCAGTGTACTTAACCAACGGTTTAGTTGCGAACAGACTATCGTAATGTTATAGCAATTAACCCCCAAATGTGGGCTACCCCATTTCATACGGTATGTGTTAGCTAAAGAATTTTCAAATTAACAATCCAAATAATGTAAATTTACTGTTAATTCATTAAAGACGTCTGCCACCGCGTTCCGTTCAGCTAAATTTGCAAAGGCGATGTCATCAACTGGGTCGAAAAACATAGAATTAAGAGATGTTAATTGCGATTTGGTGTGGTCGATTGTGAGATATCTAGAATTCTTCACGGCAAAGAGTGTTCCTGCGTTAGAACAATACATCTTATCACAAAGGAATAGGCTCTGTTCGAAGTCTCCCTATGTCGTCTACAAATAATGCTGATTTCAAAATCGAATGTGCACTGAATGTGTAGATAACAGCACACGCGTACTCAAAAAATTCCACCGCTGCCAATAAGAAGCTTGGTGGGCACATTATTATTAGAATCGTCACAGAATTTGTATTTTTGATGTTCCATTTAAGTTGTTGATTTGATTATTTATTTGTACCCGGAGTTAATTTTTCATTCATTATTTAGGATTTATTCACATCATACAATTCAGATAACAAGCGTGCTTAATTTTTAGTTGTTAAAGTTGAAAATTCTTCAAGAAACCTTGTCAAGTATTCATGTATTATCCAAACATGATGCAGTATTTAAAGCGGATTCATGTTTCAGTCGTGAGGCAGCAAACGGAAGTGTGATGCAGATTACCAGGCTTGTCCATGGGACATATTTTTCTGTCTCATTCCCATCCTATCCCACAGCAATTATGCCTGTCCCATACCATCCCATCCCGTGGGATTCCCATTAAAATAAAATTTAATAAAAATTGTTAAATATAGGTTTAGCGTCTACTAAATAGGACTACATGTACGAATAGACATGCAGAACAACATAATTTACGGACGTTGCTGCATTTGACCGCGATCGACTAAAATCTTCAAAATAGCTGGCGATTGACTGTTCGGTAATAAGGTCACTCACAAAAACGAATGGATACTGAATACTTTGATAACTAACTTTGATAACACACATACGAAAAATTTCACCACTGCCAATAAACTCGGCTTCGTGGGCGCATTTTTAATGAAATCGACACAAAATTTGTATTTTTTTGTTCCATTTAAGTTCTTAATTTGATTATTCAATTGTACCCAGAGTAAATGTTTTATCATTTATTTAAGATTTATTCAAATCATATATACAATTCAGATATATGACCTGCCTAATTTTTAGCCGTATGTGTTGACAATTCACCAATAAACCAAGTATTCATGTATTATCTGAATAGCGAAAAATAAATATTCTCAAACCATGAATGTTACATGACTGCTCAAACTTCAGTATCTAATTTAGAATTTCCTCCAAACGCGATTCTTCGCTTGCTTAGAATTAGAACAAGTTGGGCATTTTGATGCCACGGCTAGTCGGCTACCATTGCAAATGAAATTTATCGCACTACTCTTGGAGTGCGATAATAACTCATTGTAGGATCGTTTGTCAGTCTAGACACGCAATATTCGGCACCTCATTTTCAAACCTTGACAGCGGAGACACTTGCGTTTGATACGTAATAATATGCTTTATCGGGGTTGCCCAGACTTAAATACTGTATGTGTATATTGTATTTTGCGCATGTAAAGTACTGTATTCTTTCTGTTGTAAACACACAACTGCTTCAAAGCAATTTTTGGCGGTATTACAATAAAATTCACTCAACATGAGACGCGATGGACTGCTCGAGACGTGGCGATCGACCGGTCGAAGCGATCGACGTGTTGGCCACCCTTGGTATATGACATGTGAACGTGGGTGGGGAGCATGAGTTGAAACATGTTCACAAATGATGGGTATAAGAACGGACTTTAAGCGTATAAATAAACGGCGATGACTTATGTAGTGTAGAAGTTTAAGATGTAATCTAGTTGACCAAATCAATTTATATACATTAAGAGATTGCAGGGGAAGTTGGAACAAAGCCCGTTGTAATATCTATTAAATGAGCTGAATTGGTATTCTGTGTATACTCAAAGAAGTACTTATTTCTTTAATTAATGAAGTTGCGGTGATAGAGTCAAGATAAAATTAAAACTTCTGGTATGTTGCTCTTATCACGCGGGTTCGATAGGGTGATTGATTTCTTGTGCTCAGCGGGCGTGAGAATAACTGGTCAAGTAATCGTACAGTAATAATTAAGCTTAATCATAGCCACAGGCCTACGGCTACTCGCCATGTTAACAACCCCTCATGTATGGAAATACAAATGAGCATGTATGCTGAGATGATTTAGTTGAGTATAAGTTTAGTTTCTCTCAGGATTAGGGATTTTCGTACTGGGCATAGTGCTATACTGCAGTTATTACATAAACATTTCATTCCCACACCTGACCCCTAGAAAGCGCGGTTTGCCAATTGATAAAGCCACTCGTTGACTTTCCTTATCCCGGCATATATCTGACGCAATACAGTGCCGACATCTTATCCGAATGACATGTATAGCCACGACCGAACCAGAATAGTTTTACAAAAACATCACATTCTATTTACCGTCAAAATAGCTCGCGATCGACTAATCGGCAATAAGGCCATACACAAAAACGAATGAGTACCGAATATGCAGAAAACTATGCACACATGCATATAAAAAAAAGTTTGCCAATAAGTTCGGTGGTTCTTTAAGATTTATTCGAATCATACAATTCAGATCTAATGAAACTGGTTCAATGCGTTTTTAGGCTATGTTATTGAATTTATTCATCATCAGACGCGATCGACTATTCGAGACGTGGCGATCGACTGGTCAATCGCGATCGACGTGTTGGCCACCCCTGGAATATACCAACACCTGGCTACCGAGCATCACGTTTGACTGTTTAGAATATTCTGAAAAAAGTTACCATACTTTAGGAACACGTTGTTAGTTGCGTACAGTCGTTCAATTTGTATAAAAGTAAATAAGATTATTCATCCGGTACTACCGTAATGTTGTCAACCCTTTTGCTACGAATCAGATTGAGTCAGACGACCGAAGCAAAAGGTCTTTGTAAAGCCATTGCCTCGATTTTTCGCGTGCCTTGAAGAGGCACTGACTTTAGGTCCTTTTATATAAAATATAATAATATAAATGTAACAAGTGTTTCGTGTTATCTAAAAATTAAATAAGTAAGTTTCAGTAATCATTACTGATTAAAGGCCAAATTATGATTAATTTACTTATTTTTTTTAAATGGTTCTCATGCCAAAATTCATAGAGGTTTAAGATGATACATCAGAAAGATCCGGCCAATACAGGTGTCTGAATCGTCTGACTAATCCTATAAACACCGAGGCACTAATTTCAGCGCAATCGAATACCAACAGTATTGAAGCTACGGTGAAATGCCGGTTGGACGTCTATTGTTTTTAACAGTATTACTTCTAAAGGCGTCAGTCATGAAGTATTTTAATTAGAATTTGACCATGACTTCAATACTGTTAAAATACGTCAAGCGTTAAATGGAATTTTCACCGTATCTTCAATACTGTTAAAAATCGTCAGAAGCCTTTCGCCGTAACATCAATACTGTTAAAAAAGCGTCAGTCGCCATTAAACAAGCAAAATTTGTTTTAAGTGAAACAATATTGAGCTCTGAGTCGCCAGACCAACTCTAATTATTTTATTAAACACTGAAGCGGCATTGAAAGTTCGACTATGCAAATTTCTGGGGTGTCCCTCCTCTTATTTTGCCCCATGGTTATCCAGCCTTGAGTGAAGTTACCATGATCTGTTATCTAGAGTATTCTAGACGAAAATGTCAATATTTGGTAATTCCATGGATATGCTGTTAAGACAAATGTCAGATACCGTAATTACCATTTGAAATCGAGTAAAAATAATAATTCAACGCTATGTATATATTAGAGGTAAATCACCTTGGTCACAGTCTATAAATTTTAGTATCTGCAAGGGCATTTACTACAAGATCTTTTCATGTAGTATTCAATAGATTTCTTTTTTATTATCCACATACAGGCTTATATATAAATAGAACGATTTATTATATATCAATGTTCTATTCTCCATGAAAATATCAAATTTTATTATTAAACAATATGACAACTTCAGCAATGTCAAGTGCTTCGTGAAAACGTGATATTCATATTTTCCTTCAGCATTTGACTTCAATTCTTGCGAACGTATGATCTGTTCCTAGTTCGTTTTCGACGTAACATTCGTACTTTCCTGCATCCTTTTTGGTGATTTTTTTAATCGTGAGAACTGTTTTATCATCATCTATCTCGTAAGAAATTCGATGATCCTCCTCGATGTCAACATCTCCCTTTGCCCAGCCGACCTTAAAATTGAATACAAAACAACATCGATAGCTTACGGCTCACAAAAAGAATTATGACGTCCCAATATGTTTCCTACGGTTTCTAAAATATATCACGACGTCAAAATTTTTGAATTGTGTGAAATACGAAATTTGAGTTACAGGCAAGATGCATACGTACACTAACGTACGTACGCATACGTACACTAAGAATAGTAAGATGATGCTACGGCTTGCGTAATGGTGAATCCACCGCTGATTGTTACTTACTTCGGGCAGAGGATTGCCACTTATTGTTGCAACGAGTTGAACAGTGTCACCAGCTTTTACAGATATATTCGAAGGACCATGTTCAATTTTGGCAGGTGCTGTTGAAAAAATAATAAATGGTTCACAAGCATATAAAAATCATACTTACTGAGACCCCTAAATGGAAATTTAGTTTTGGTTCGTTATTTTATCTTATTGAATTACTTATATTTTGCACTTAAGTCATTATAAATCTTAATTGTCAATTATCGGCGCGGACATTTGTGAACATTCGTCAAAATATGTTCTAATGAAATTCATAGTTGCATACTATATGAGTATACTAGCAAATTAGTGTGTGTGGTAATACAAAACACCACGAATGTTCTGATCCGTTTAACCATCACAATAAATGGTGTACAGCAGATGTACATACATATATCTATACATTTTGCATTATACTCAAATGAAATGAAATATTATTCAGAAAATTACCATTTTTCGTATTTAATCAGTTGTGTTTTCCCTAAACATTACACTAAAATGCCTCACATGACACTTCCACTTTGGCATGATCATACACTTCGCCAAATTGGTTGAATGCTTTGCAGGAATAGCGACCATTGTCCTCGACCCGACCTTTCAATAGTACTAAGGCACAAATGTCCGGATCTTCAAAGATAATTTGATAGTTAGATCCTTCTTTTATTTCTTGGTTATCTTTGAACCATCTGACAAAACAAACATACCAATGTCGATTCTATTGTTTTATGGAATTAACATAATACTACACATTGAATACTAAATATATAAAATAATAAATCAAACAAAATTAATTTAGAATACACGGAAAATATATAAATATTCGTGACAAAAATAGTATCAATTTTCCTAACCTTAAACAAAGAGCAAAGATTTCCACTTTACAGTTTAAAATAAAATTTTCACCTGATTAATAGCTTAAATTAAACTAAATCTAAACTTTTTTTTATCTTGTAATATTGCGTATTAGGATCAGATGGTGACCATGACCATCATATAAATATTACAGTAACTTGAATTTGTTTGTATAGGTAATGCTCTTAATACTCACGTAACAGTTGGATCTGGGAATCCACCGAGTCTACAGTCCAATCTTGAAGCACTTCCTTCCACAATAGTGACATCTTGAAGCCCATCCAAGAATCTGTAGTAAATACATTTAAGTAATATTCAAATTTTACATATGAGCATACACATTTACAAATATTTGAAATCGATTTGATTTTTTTAAAAAACCCATAGAACTGAAACAATAAAAATAGATGAAAAGATCAGCTTTACTCGGTCGGTATAAATCCGCAAAATGGCAATAATAACAGTAAATTTTGTCGACTTTATCGCTCCCATTAAATTACGTCTAACGTCCTATATATGAAATAAATTATTACAACGGCCGATGTAACAGTATGATTAATATATCGAATGTAATTTTAGTTAAAAACATCGTGAAAAAAGAGCATATTTTCAGATTTATTGCCTATATACAGTAATAGTTTGTTCTTGTTGGTACGTGATACCTGGGAGGTCCATCTTCGAGCATCTTCTTACGGACACGATGCCCACGGAAAGATTTCTGAATCATTGCCGCCGCTTTTTGGACATCTTTATCCTTAAGATCAATGTCCACACCTGCAGGGGGCTTACTGGCCGGCATTTTCCTTAAAACAAAATGTTATTTTCAAAAAATTTCAATTTCTTCATTCTCGTTTTCTAAATTTAATATATATGTGATCAATTTCCCTACGATATTCAACACTAATATATATATTACCTGTTATATACTAGACCAAAACACTTTTCTTGACACTAACCCTGCAGCACGACTACTCGAAGATAAAGTATAAATAACGGACGGCTGCATATTTATTACGTCTTGCATTGCTTTTTACATAAAATATAATTAAAGAAATTCTGCTCTAACGTAAGACAAGACGATCTCGTGCAACAACTGTTACTAGTAGTGCATTGAAATCCCGTTTTGCGAGGCGATTCAGGGCGTGCATTTCTCATGGGACGGGCTATTTTTGTTTCCGAATTCTCCAGAGTTTTCAGAAACTACATATCTTTCCGTACAAGGACTGACTGCATTGTCCAATCCACGCTGTAGTTAATACATACGTAAGAAACAACGAAATGAATGGATTGGAATTCAATGGATAGAACTATTGATTATCATTCACGTCATTGGTTATGAACATCACCAAGCGTTTATATTCACTTGATCTACTTTATATTTCAAAACCTAATTGATCTTTTGGAATTTAAGGAAAATCCAAATAACTCTTGATATGTTTTGTTTGAAAATTAACTTATCACATATATCAGGAATTTCATGAACCACGGTTGTACTGCGACCTGTGTTATACGCGAACACTTAGCATATTACACTTACACAATATCAAATAACTTTCTTAATTAATTTATAGTGCTAAAAATTGTCATGCCAATGTGCAGTGTAAACACACATAAATCCTTTAATTGGAAATTTCATGTAAATATGCATAACCGCATCCGTATATATGGATATCCGCATGGCATCACTGTCTAAACGAGCGTACTAAAAGTAGTAAACTATTTATATTATAGGAACATGATATATCAGTTGAACGATAAGACGCCGAGCTAAACATTATATATGTGTATTTAGGAATACAGAATTAATACAGAAATATACGGAATGTAGAAAATTGATTCAGTTTTATACCGAATAAATGTTATGCGCAATCTCTTGTTTCGGCTGCGACACATCTAGAGATGAACTATCTTTTTACCCAGAGCTGCAAGGTTAGGACTTAAAATCCTAATTTTATAATTTGAGGGTATAAAACTTGTCACAAAAGCTAATAATTACAAAGCGAGTAGCTTGGAGTCAAGTTTCTAAACGAGATTAGATTCTCAACCTGGACACAGTGCAAAGAGCAAAGGTCTTACAAACGAAGACGACACATTAATGAATATTTCCCCCAAAGATCGATTTCCTTGTTGATTTCGGTAATATTGACCAATCGGCAAGCTGCCAATGGTAATATAGAAATTGAAATTTTGTCAACCGGTCCGACACTTTTTTCACCCATGCAGAATATTGCGAATATCAGCTTTCATGTTGTTTTGCTAGTAATTGCTTCAGTATTTAATTGTGTTTTCAAAATTTAGGCATAAATTAATTATCTCAATGGTCATTTTGTCTTCCGACAAAGTTTCGATAAACTTATCTGAAATTAGCTGTCAGTAGTTTTTAACGGCAGATGGTTGAATCTTATGAATCATAATGATTGTTATGAAACTTCTCAAATTCATTCTAGTCGTTATTTTCAACACAAAAATGTGTACTATTCTCTTAAGCCAAACATCAATAACATTCACAGCTAAATGTTATTTTTGTCATATATAAAAATTGAATTTGAAATAATAAAATTAGAATAAAGAAATGAATATAATCACGAATCATCAAATTCAAAAAATTAATTTGTTTCTGGCACTAACAATATTGTACAATAAAATATATATAAAGCAAAAATATTCTGCAACACAGGCATTTGAAATTGAAGCTTCCAACTCATAACAGCCCCTCGCTGTTTTGTGAACTTATGGTATTAAACTTTAACTTTGTTAGTCTTTGTATATGTTACTGTTACATTAGTTCTTTTAGTTTGTGGTGTTTTTGTTCCTGGTGTTCCATCTATCTTCGGCCGACCTGTTATTTGTAATATCAAAAATATATCACGAGTTTACAGACCGATTTGATCAGACTTAACTTAAGTTTTAATAGTATCACCTTTCACATGACTATCTTTTCTTTTTATGCATAATAGTTTTAATATTTCTGTTGTCCATAAATCTCGAACATCTTTTCTTCGAATGCAGAAAAGAAAAAAGACAAAGAAACCCTGTAAAAACAAATGTCAATATTTTTATTGATACTTACACGCCTTATTACATTCTTCAATTTCAAAAAAAAGAGCATCTCATGAAAACTTATATTTTACAAGAGACCTGATTGTAAGAATTATATTTTAGTTTAAATCAAAGAAGCCAAATTATTAATATCGTTGAGCTTTTTATTTTTGAGATTTTATACACAACATCAATCCGATTATATATTAAACCTTCAAAACTCTCAATTAAGCAAACTACTATTCACTAACTACAATATTGTTTTGCAATGAACTTTATACAAAACAGTACATAATGTTTCCTTTTTTCACCTGCAACGAGTTGGCGACAGAAAACAGCCATCCAAACACAATGTTCGTATTTTCATCCTCGGATATTGTTAACGGAATAGCAAATAGCCATGCTAGTCCTAGTAAAAAAGTGAAGATAATGGCTCTTGTAAGATATGTCTTTGCCTCCTGAAGAGAAGATTTCTTCTGGTTTGTCCTTAATAGTATCTAGAATAGTAAAACATATTGAAATAGGCCGCAAGCTTGTTAATGTTAAGCTTTACAGTTTTTTGACTGTGATCAATTTTGGGTGTGGGATGCATAGAAAAATAGTTTAATGTACTCGGTTCATATAAAAGATATGTCGATGTTTTCAAATATGCTGCTTTCCTCATTCAACCCTAAATATTACCCTTTTTCAGTTCTATTTCGAGTTCGGAGACTAGCCAAGTGACTCCCGTAGTATTTGTACCTGAAATTATGGCCTAACCATAAGCTAGTACACATGCTACGTTCCGGTGTCCGCCATCTTGGTTAACATGCTGCGGGAGTACCGTATATAATATATGTGCCAAAAGTGACTAGTATTTATAATATTATCTTTTCTATACTACGACTCTAAATATTGGCCAGAGCATAACTTAGGTAGGTTTATACATTACCTTCGACCGATCACAAGTAATTGCTTTTGATATTGCGATGAAGCCAAATGCATTTATAACGAGACCAATAGCGATAGGCGCCAAAAATCCAACAATTAATGAATAACGATGAAGCCAGCATAACCGCCCACTTATGTATGTAGATGGAGCATTCGTTTCATCTTCTGCCAAAAAATAATAGGTCGAATGAGGAAGGTATTTATTTGTAAATTTCCAAGCAACATTGAGTAATAATAATAGTCATAATAGACGCTGACTTCGCGTCTGCACATGCATTGACAGTGGGTTTAGTGGTTAAAATACTGACAAGCTTAAATGTTATTTGCGTAATGCTTGCGTGTCGGAAAGAAATCTGTCATAAAACTGTTACACTACACCAGTTGATTTCAACCAGCGTTCCTCGACATCATAAGGTTCCGTCATTACAATCCAGGGACTCCGTAATTGAGCAGGTGGGAAACCCCTGAACTAAACTATTAATACTGTATTTCCTGCATAGCCAAGAAACTATTTAATAATGTTCACGACAAAGATGTTTTTCAATATTCATTTTGTCATTACCTTCCGTCATAGGGGGCCACTCCATGAGTAAGTTTCTATCAAACCAACCTACAGCGACAGCGACGGTGACAACAGCAATTAGAGCGGAACCACTGTATACCATGACTGCAGCCTTTACTATGTAGTAGGGTCCAGTTGAACCAAACACTGAAACAAGCTTCCTATAAAAGGGGTCAAGAGGATAAAAGTTGCACTTTGTTTATTAACTCTTGCAGGGGGTTGCATATACCAAATAAGAGTTCTGTTACCCTAGACAGGTGACCATACTGTCGACAAAGTCGCTCATACTTCATTCTAATTGAGCAATTGTCGAATTTTATTTATAACTCAAGCGACAATTGTTGCAAACCATACATCGCACGTAATTTTTGTCAAATACCTAAATATGTAAGCATATTTTAAAACATTCATTTCCTATTTTACGTTGTTCATCAATTGTGAAAGAACTAGACCGGCAATTGAATAAGATGGATTGTAATTCCCTTTTTAACTGTTATTGCAAAGACAGCCAAATGTCGACTTAACATGCAAATAACAGCGTTACATATCTGTATAAAGATAGACAATGTTAGAATAGTTTTTCATTATTATAATTATCTCTTACTTGTACATAGTGGCACATTCAACTATCATCCATCCCCATGCAGATAGTAAAAATAAATGCAGGAATGCTGCGATAGTAATACAGCCATTTCTATTATTTATCTGCTCAACACCAGTCAGAAACAAAACATATGCCACTAAGAGACTGAATCCGAGATTTGAGTGTATTTGATTCGTCAAATTCTTTCTTAAAGATCTGAACAATAACGAAATGGATAGTTTACAGTTTTGATATATTTACTATTCATACTATATTGATTTTGAATCTTATTTTACGTTGTACAACAGAAGTCAATGACAGAATACATAAAATAAAAATTCTAAAGGATATTTAATTAAATACTTACGAAAAATAACAAATGCACAACAACATCAAAGCAAGTCCAATCACAGAAAGTGAACATCCGACCTTTCCGAATATTTCCAAAGTATATGGATCCGTCAAGTTGGCTGTTTTCTAAAAAATATAATATTGTCACCGTTAAATATAATCACGACCATTGTGCCCGATAGACATTCATTGCAACATTAAGTTACAATGTCTTAAATTCTATTCAGCCCTGAACCTAAGCAATCCATGCTGACTTTATTATATACTGAATCTTGAAATGATGATCAATTGAATATATAATTCAGACAATGCCTGTCTTTCTGAAAAAATATCACTAATCAACGTTCAAGTTTTAAAATTAACGTTAAAGTGTGGGGCATGCCAGAAATGGAGATTAGTCTATTAGCCTGCTATATAATCAATCGATTCAATCATTGTATGACTGAAACATTATATTATTATTTGGACAATAATATGGCAATACATCTGTGCCATTGATACCAATTTATTTTTGACAGCATTAAGGGTGAAAAAAATATTTATCAATTCTGCGGTATTGTATTCAACATTAAATGTTATGCAATAACAAGCGCTTGTTCGATTGTATTAGGCAACAAGATTTCTTTCCATGTCAATGAATGGAATGTTGGATGGACATGCAATATTGTAATATATACAAAACACAACATACCAAAATGTTTGCCTTGGTAATCTTCGTAAATTTGGCTGTAAAACTAAATTAAATTTAGGAAACATTAGGCTATAACTTACTACTAATACAGCAAAATTTGTTAAATGATTGCAAGTACAATTTGGCGGATTTGATCCAGTGGCATACGAACATCCCTCGGAATTCCAGTTCTTCATTTCCACATCGTAATAAGCACATTTTATAAATTTTACTTGGCGTGTTTCCTGTATAAACACAAGTGATATGGGAAAACCCAAAAATCTCATTTTGGCGCTGATTCGTGATAACAAGAAAAGTCCTTTGAGATACTGTTACATTACCAACGTCATGGAATTGATTAGTGGTATGGCTAGTTGATACAGTCAGTAGACCGGAGTGATGTTAGTATGACGTAGGTGAATAATGTGTTCGCTAGCTTAAACTGTTAACTAACCTAAAATCAGTTATTAAGTTTTGATAGGTTGGGAAACGAGATATTGGACGCTTGTTTGCTACTGTCAACGACTAACATAAATGTTGTATAGAAAGATTGATGGATGATAAATATTGATCAAATATGTTCATACAATAAAAGTTTTTGCTTTGTGTTGTGCTTTTTACTCATTCTTGGCACCGTAGTCGCGAATATTACAAAAATAATATTGTGGCCCAGATGCTGACAACGTTGGACCATCTTCCCACAGTAGTTGCGGAGAAAATTTTATCTTGACGATAAAAACCCCAACAAGAACAGCAATTCTGAAAAATGACTTTATGCCCAATAGCTTCTTAATAGTTAATGCGGTATTGAATTTTTGAACATTGAATATTACTTACATTTACCTTCTTATAATTTACAGGTATCTGATACCAAAATGGTTCCACCAAATTGGTAATTTTTTTGTCAGCAATGCTGCACGATAGTACCTATAGAAAGAAAAAGATGGTCCTACGTATAAAAAGACAAAATTAGTGGTATTTAAAAAGTGTTTATAAAGAATATATATATATATATATATTTATAAACTATTGCAGCTCGTTTTAACAATAAAATCTAGTAGATCTAGTACATTTTAGTGATTGTTTTATTAAACCTTGCATTGGATAGTAATGCATACGGTATATTTAGTATGAAAATGTTCAAAACGGAGATTGTGTTCAAGTCGAGGTTATTTATAAGCCAAAAGGGTACATAATCACACTGTTACCTAGGTACTTACTTGATCGACAGCAATATCTTTTGATGTCTGAAAGAAACTAGCATTTCGAAACACTACAAAAGATACAGAAGTACGTTTTTCTTCTGACATATGTAATGCTTTATTAACTGCGCTTCCAGGTAACAATGCCTTTATTCCTTCCAGTTCAAAATCCGTGTCTTCTATTTGTACATCAGTATAATGTGGTGTGAACTAATGAAATGAGGCAGTAACATTGCAAACGTCATCAAAGAATTAGGACTGAAAATTTGGCGCTCAGACCTAGTGGTCCTTACCATATACACTTGGCCTAAACACCATGTCGTGACCATGAGCTTTAAACAGTAAAAAAAAAAATATCTCGTGGAATTTGACCAATATCATAGTGTCTTATCGATGACTTTTTTTTATCGAAGAATTGAAATACTTTCAAGCAATGCCTTTCTATATATTATACTAATATATATGACCCCCCGTATTGAAGAAAACTAATTGAAAATATTATACTATTATACTTAATATAGATAGAGATGATAAGCACCTGCTGAACTTCTACGTAAATTGCAGACGAATTCAATCGGAATGTTTCGTTTGACTCCGGTTTTATTTTAGTTGTTAGAGTTTCCACCGACAGGGCGACATCAATATTTTCAGAAGTATCGTAGTTTCGGCTTTCACTAAGGAGTTCATTTGCCATGTAAATTAGTTCTTCGATATCAACCTTTATAGCCTATAATTTCGTCAAAGGAGGGTGATGGGAGATATTTGTTTATGCAGTGTCCTGAACTTTTTTTAATGAATTCATATTTTTATATTTGAATATTATAGTTTAAAAAAGTTATAGTTCAACCAATGAGGTTTCCAGATTTTATTTCAAAAGACAGGATTTCATTTTTTGACAAACAAAAAAATTAAATATTCAGCCAAATAAATATGTAGCTGAAGATTTTAGATTTCCCAGAATTACTTTAAGTTTCACTTTTTATGCAGATTAGACTCAGAAGTGCAACTCGTCCATTTTAGGACAATTTTAACAGAAACTAATAGTCGAAAAAAAATCAATGGCAGTACCTTTGCGCTCGTGAAATTGTTTGTTGTATTTATCGAATCATGCATTGTTTCGTTGTAGTATTTCTTAAATCTATACATTAGCGTACTTCCGTTTGCTACATCGCCAGCCGTGGTTTCAAAATATATTGGGTCACTCGTAGTGTGAATCTATTGAAAATGGTATACATTTATTCCAGATCTATGGTAAAAAATTTGATTTCGAGATGTTTTGCTACTTAATATCGATGATCAGTGAACAAAATGGAAAAGAGAGCATGTTAATACAGTACCTGGAAGTTTCATAATAAATAAAAATTACGAAAAATGATATAATAATTAATTAGATAATGAGAAAAAATTTTGGTCTGAAATTAGAATGAATCAAAAACAATATTGATCAATTGAAGTTTAAAGTATAGAAAGCAAAAACTATAGATTTTCATTCCTTCTTGGTGAACCTTTTATACTAAATTGACAACACTTTTTATAAGATGTTTATATAGCAGGGCTGGCGAACCTGCTTTCGACCGCGATCGACTAAAATCTTTAAAATGGATCGCAATCGACTGATTGGTATTAAGGTCCTACACAAAAACGAATGGGCACTGAATGTGCAGATAACTGTTCACACGCATACAAAAAATCCCACCGCTTCCAACAAGTAGGCTTTGTGGGCACATTATTATTAAAATTGACACAAAATTTGCAATTTTTATATTCCATTCAAGTTGTTGATTTGATTATTTAATTGTACCCGGAGTAAATGTTTATCCCATCATTCATTTGAGATTTATTTAAATCATACGATTCTGATAAAGGGCGTGTCTAATTTTTAGTCGTATGCGTTGAAAATTCCCCCAAAAACCTTGCCAAGTATTCATGTATTATCCTAACAGCAAAAAATAAATATTCTCAAACCATGGATGTTACATGACTGCTTAAACTTCAGTATCTAATTCACAATTTCCTCCAAACGTGATCCTTCGCTTGCTTAGAATTAGAACAAGTTGGTCATTTTGATGCCACTGCTACCATTGCGAATAAAATGTATCTTGGAGAGAGACAATACCTCTCGCATACTGCGGAAGTTATTGTAGGATCGTTTGTCAGCCAGACACGCGATATTCGACACTTCATTATTAAACCTTGGCAGCGCAAAAACTTGCATTTGTTACGTAATAATACGCTTTATCGGGCTTGCTCAGACTCGAATACTGTATGTGAGTGTATCTGTATATTGTATTTTGCGCATGTAAGTTACTGTATTCTTCCTGTTGTAAAACAAACAACTGGTTCGAAGCAATTTTGGAGGGTATTTCAATAAAATTCACTCAACATCAGACGCAATCGACTGCTCGAGACGTAGAGATCGACGTGTTGGCCATCGAAAAATGATATAATAATTAATTAGATAATGAGAAAAAATTTTGGTCTGAAATTAGAATGAATCAAAAACAATATTGATCAATTGAAGTTTAAAGTATAGAAAGCAAAAACTATAGATTTTCATTCCTTCTTGGTGAACCTTTTATACTAAATTGACAACACTTTTTATAAGATGTTTATATAGCAGGGCTGGCGAACCTGCTTTCGACCGCGATCGACTAAAATCTTTAAAATGGATCGCAATCGACTGATTGGTATTAAGGTCCTACACAAAAACGAATGGGCACTGAATGTGCAGATAACTGTTCACACGCATACAAAAAATCCCACCGCTTCCAACAAGTAGGCTTTGTGGGCACATTATTATTAAAATTGACACAAAATTTGCAATTTTTATATTCCATTCAAGTTGTTGATTTGATTATTTAATTGTACCCGGAGTAAATGTTTATCCCATCATTCATTTGAGATTTATTTAAATCATACGATTCTGATAAAGGGCGTGTCTAATTTTTGGTCGTATGCGTTGAAAATTCCCCCAAAAACCTTGCCAAGTATTCATGTATTATCCTAACAGCAAAAAATAAATATTCTCAAACCATGGATGTTACATGACTGCTTAAACTTCAGTATCTAATTCACAATTTCCTCCAAACGTGATCCTTCGCTTGCTTAGAATTAGAACAAGTTGGTCATTTTGATGCCACTGCTACCATTGCGAATAAAATGTATCTTGGAGAGAGACAATACCTCTCGCATACTGCGGAAGTTATTGTAGGATCGTTTGTCAGCCAGACACGCGATATTCGACACTTCATTATTAAACCTTGGCAGCGCAAAAACTTGCATTTGTTACGTAATAATACGCTTTATCGGGCTTGCTCAGACTCGAATACTGTATGTGAGTGTATCTGTATATTGTATTTTGCGCATGTAAGTTACTGTATTCTTCCTGTTGTAAAACAAACAACTGGTTCGAAGCAATTTTGGAGGGTATTTCAATAAAATTCACTCAACATCAGACGCAATCGACTGCTCGAGACGTAGAGATCGACGTGTTGGCCATCCCTGTTATATGGCATCAAGTCCGGCTTACAATCGGCCATTTATAGGCATAGAACTACCAATGTTTCAAATATCAAAAAAAAAAGCTTTGTAGTTTTTTTTCAAATAAATCAAAGTTATGACATGGCTAATAAAGCATTAAAACTACAAAATTATTGTAGTCAAAGGCGCTGAATAAGTAGTTGCAAGGTCAATTATGTGAAGTAGAAAATAAATGATGAAACATGTATGTTCAATATCATTATTTTATGGCTACGTATTTTACTATAGGGATATTATCTTGGAGAAAAATTAAATTTTTAAATTAAACCTAATCATAAACTTTTTTTAATGAATTTATATTTTCATATTTGAATATTATAGTTTAAAAAAGTTATAGTTCAAACAAGAAGGTTTTCAGATTTTATTTTGAAAAACAGGATTTCATTTTTTGACAAACCAAAAAAATTAAATATTCAGCCAAATAAACATGTAGCTGAAGATTTTAGATTTCCCAGAATTAGTTGAGTTTAATTTTTTATGCAGATTAGACTCAGAAGTGCAACTTGTCCATTTTGGGACAATTTTAACAAAAACTAAAGAAAAAAATATCAATGTCAGACATTATTGTCAGTACCTTTGCGCTTTTGAAATCGTTTGTTGTATTTATCGAATCATGCATTGTTTCGTTGTAATATTTCTTAAATCCATACATTAGCTTACTTCCGTTTGCTACATCGCCAGCCGTGGTTTCAAAATATATTGGGTCACTCGTAGTGTGAATCTATTGAAAATGGTATACATTTATTCTAGATATAATGTAATAAATATGATTTCGAGACGTTTTGCTATTTGATATTGATGATAAGTGTACAAGATGAAAAAGGGAGAATATTAATACAGTACCTGAAATTTTCATAATAAATAAAAATCACGAAAAATGAAAAAATCAATGTCAGTACCTTTGCGCTCCTGAAATCGTGTGTTGTATTTTTCGAGTCGCGCATTGTTTCGTTGTAGTATTTCTTAAATCTATACATTAGCTTACTTCCGTTTGCTACATCGCCAGCCGTGGTTTCAAAATATATTGGGTCACTAGTAGTGTGAATCTATTGGAAATGGTATACATTTATTCTAGATATAATGTGAAAACTATGATTTCGAAATGTTTTGCTACTTAATATTGATGATAAGTGTACGGGATGAAAAAAGGAGAATATATAAAATTATATTGTAATATATATACAATTATAAAAATCATGAAAAATGATATAATGATATAAAAAAAAAAATTTTGTTCTGAAATTAGAATGAATCAAAAACAATAATAGTCAATTGAAGTTCAAAGTATAGAAAGCAAGAAACTATAGATTTTCATTCCTTCTTGGTAAACCTTTCATACTAAATTTACAACACTTTATATAAGATGTTTATATAGCATCAAGTCCGGCATACAATTTTTTGACAAACAAGAAAATATGTAGCTGAAAATATTAGATTTCCCAGAATTACTTGAGTTTAATTTTTTATGTAGATTAGACTCAGAAGTGCAACTCGTCCATTTCGGGACAATTTTAACCAAAACTTGTCAAAAAAATCAATGGCAGTACCTTTGCGCTTCTGAAATCGTGTGTTGTTTTTATCGAGTCGTGCATTGTTGTTTCGTTGTAGTATTTCTTAAATCTATACCTTTGGGTACTTCCGTTTGCTACATCGCCAGCCGTGGTTTCAAAATATAATGGGTCACTCGTAGTGTGAATCTATTGAAAATGATATACATTTATTCTAGATATAATGTAAAAAATATGATTTCGAGATGTTTTGCTACTTAATAATGGTGATCAGTGTACAAGATGAAAAAAGAGAGAATATTAATACAGTACCCGAAAATTTCATAATATATAAAAATCATGAAAAATGATATAAAAAACAACTATTTGGTCTGAAATTAGAATGAATCAAAACAATATTGATTAATTGAAGTTCAAAGTGTAGAAAGATATTTTCATTCCTTCTTGTTGAACCTTAATTATTGAATTGACAACACTTTTCATAAGATGTTTATAAAGCATCAAGTCCGGCATACAATCGGCCATTTATGAGAATAGAACTACCAATGTTTCAAATATTAAAAAAAGAAAATAAAAGTTTTTTAGTCTTTTTTTTCAAATAAAACAAAAGATAGGACACGTCTAATGAAGCAATAGAACTACAAAAATACTGTAGCACAGACGTTGAATGAGTAGTTGCAGGGTCAATTAGGTGAAGTAGAAAATAAATGATAAAACATGTGTGGTCAATATCATTATTTTATGGCTACGTATTTTACTATATGAATATTATCTTGAAGAAGAATTAAACTCTTAAAATTAAACTCAAACATAAACTTTTTTTAATGAATTTTTTTATTTTTATTTGAATAGGCCTATTAAAGTTTAAAAAAGTTATAGTTCAAACAATAAGATTTTCAGATTTTATTTTAAAAAACAGGATTTCATTTTTTGACAAACAAAAAAAATTAAATATTCAGCCAATCAAATATGTAGCTGATAAATTTAGATTTTTTAGAATTACTTAAGTTTCACTTTTTATGCAGATTGACTCAGAAGGGAAACTTGTACATTTTGGGACAATTTTGTCAAAAAAAAAAAATCAATGTCAGTCAGTACCTTTGCGCTCCTGAAATCGTTTGTTGTATTTATCGAATCATGCATTGTTTCGTTGTAGTATTTCTTAAATCTATACCATTGGGTACTTCCGTTTGCTACATCGCCAGCCGTGGTTTCAAAATATATTGGGTCACTCGTAGTGTGAATCTATTGAAAATGGTATACATTTATTCTAGATATAATGTAAAAAATATGATTTCGAGATGTTTTGCTACTTAATATTGATGATAAATGTACAAGATGAAAAAGGTAGAATATTAATACAGTACCTGAAATTTTCATAATAAATAAAAATCACGAAAAATGAAAAAATCAATGTCAGTACCTTTGCGCTCCTGAAATCGTGTGTTGTATTTTTCGAGTCGCGCATTGTTTCGTTGTAGTATTTCTTAAATCTATACATTCGCGTACTTCCGTATGCTACATCGCCAGCCGTGGTGTCAAAATATACTGGGTCACTCGTGGTGTGAATCTATTGAAAATGGTATACATTTATTCTAGATATAATGTAAAAGATTTGATTTTGAGATGTTTTGCTACTTAATATTGATAATAAATGTACAAGATGAAAAAGGTAGAATATTAATACAGTACCTGAAATTTTCATAATAAATAAAAATTAGGAAAAATGATATATTGATATAAAAAAAACTTTTTGGTCTGATATTAAAATGAATCAAAAACAATATTGATTAATAAAAGTTTAAAGTATAGAAAGCAAGATCTATATATTTTACTTGCGTATACGTTGTTTAAAATTTGTAAAATTTTCCCCAGAGGAAAAATTATAGAAACACGTATACCATATATACCATATTACGTGGAAATCTAAATGCTGTATAGTCCAAGTATGCTGATTCACTACCATCTGAGTATTTTCTTATTTTACAAGGTAGAGTAGCTTCAGATGATCCTGAAAAACAATTACAACACACATTTCATTTATACTATATATATTTGAGAACCACTTACAGATTATTTGCAAATTTGAACTAATTGCTAATGAATATTTCCAGTTCGAAATTATGATGAAAACAGTACAATAGTCATTGAGCAAAAGAGTTGGATTTAATCGATTTAAAGAAGTCCAATATGATGTCTAAGAAATGAATTCTTACCCAATGAGGAGTTTTCTTCTGAAAACGCTAGTGAACCGGCATTTGCTGCCTTGAAATGATATAATCTTTTTCCGTACCCTATTTTTTTTGGCGTACACTTTAGAGAAGCTGAAAAAAGTCGGAGGTAGATTACGTACGTTAATGGTAAACCACATCAGACAGCCGTTAAACAAAATATAGACAATTCTTCGCAGTGCCAACCAAAAATACAAAATTTTGTGATCCCGATTTTCGTAGAATTACGATAAATAATTTTTAAGTATAACCATCAACTTTATTCAAGATAGGATGAGTCTTTTTTGACGAAATGCTAGTTGAAACCACCCTTTGTCTGCAGTTTTTAGAACATTTATAAAATTATATTTTAAAATATTTTGTCTATAATCAAACAGTATTCTTTAAATCGACGTTTTCTCGGATTCGTTACTATACCTTGAATAGGTTTCTTCCATCTAGCAAATATTTTTTTACTTCCAGTAGACTTTCTCATTGCTCGTCTGACTTTAATAAAATCCTTGATAAAATCATGTGGCGTCAAGTTTGGATCCGAGCAATAAATATCGTATGTTAAATTAAATAATCTTGTATCTAAATTAGTAATTTTTGTTATGATGAGCATGTTTATTTTGGTTAACAGGTTTTTAGAGAATAAATCACGGAGACGATTTGCTTTATCTCTCACGACACAGTCAGTTGCAGGTAGTGTGAGGTCTGGATATATGACAATTTGCCATATTGTTATTATATCTGGAAAATAAACAAAAGAATATTTGAGGGAATTTTAACTTCAATTTGCCCAAAACAAAATAAATGACATTCAGAATATAATAAACTGAAATTATGTCAATTTCAATGACGTTTTTCCAACAACAACATAAAGAATAGTGAAACCTCGTGAACACGAGGTCATTAAAATTTACGCAGAAGTATTGCAGTTGCATTATCGTTTATTATGTTATATATCAACGATACTCACACCCACACGCGTTTATTCCATTTCCTTGCATATCCTCAGGGCAGAAACAAATACTTGATCCATTTTTGTACACACAGTTGTCGTCTTTTGGTGGACATAAAATCTTGTTATTATCAATGCAAGTACCCTTCTCCGTCATTTTAAATCCACTTTTACAGCATTCAAATCCAGTTTTGGTATGATGACAGTGCCCAGCAATTGTGTTATCGCAAAATTTAATATGAATCTCTGCCGAACAAACACCTGCAAATATATTAAAACGCAACCATACACACTCTTTAATAGTTTTAAACCAATGGTGACTTATGAAGTCGAATATACTTAACGTATTACTTAGCCAGGTCTAACCCTTATATATTTCCTGATTCTAAGTATAATAGTGCTTGAACAAATGATTAATACCAGCAATATATAGTCTTAAAGACCGAGTTATATGGTTGTGATTATATAAAAAATTAAAAAAAAAAAAAAAATTACCAGTAGTTGGCACTTGGCACACATATGCCAACTTGTCGTTACATGGAATTTTTATCGCATTCAAGTTGTTCAATTTTATTGCAATGCATTTTCCTCTGTAATATGATAAACTGAGCCAAATGCTAAAAGCCATCTGCAAGAGAAATTTCTAACTAATGATAAAATTCAATTATTCTAAAATATCCCTTTACTCTCGAGTGGTACAACTGTTGACATCAAATTTCATCCCAATATTTTTCTGGGATATTCTCGTGCAACTAAAGACTGAAAAACTGAAAATACTATTTATGAATGTACGTCAGGATTGAATAAACTACTTCATAACATTTTCTCGTATTTTTTACTCACTAATTTTCCGAATTTTTAAAAATAAGTTACTTTCAAGTCATTCTTATTGCAAATTAATGGTTGTTTTGAATAAATTTTTGAAGAACGATTTTTGTATACTCAATTTGCACATAAATTCAACACTTTTACAATAAAATAGATTTGGTTTGAATGGAATAAGACATGCTCTGTTTTGAAGTTTGCATTTTTATAAGATATTTTTACCTACCGTGTTATTATGAGAACTTAAACCCCGGCCAAATAAGTTATCAGGTACTGGTTCTCTCACGAAACGCCCCCCAAGCTTCAGGCATTGGTTTTTGGCTCGAGAGAAAGTAGTTGGGGTGGAAATAAAGAAGTATCTTAATTGGGTTTTCTTGTCTAGTATATCTTCAGAATACTTGACGGTATCTGCAAAATAGATTATATTCACCATATTTTCGAAATATATTTTATCCACAAGTATCCATATAATAAATTAATATTTCCCAACCTGGTTTGAATGGTGTAGTCGTTGTCGATTAAGATTTTTAATAACTCCATAGTATGAAATACGACTGACTCTATTTCAGCACCCGTGAAACTTTTTTTGGCACAAAACGTCGTTTGGGAATGTTTTCTAAATTGATGTTTAGACCATGTTGCTGTCGGGTCAAATAGCCATTATCTCTTAACTACTGACCATATCATGAGTTAACAATAAAAATGTCCGCTAGGAGTTTAATACTTCTATAATACTATTTTATTTTTTTTTTGTTTCTAGAGGCTTCCTGAAACGTGCATACTGCTTTATCCAAAAATTTGCTAAATTTATGACTTTGCGGCGATACCAGACAGATTTTCTGTTGATCCAACCATTTTGGCCAACTAGTGTACCAGAATTGCAAATCCGAATTACGTATTAGAACATGTAATAGCTTTACAGACAGTTGACATTAACCCACAACAGGCTGTCTGGTCACCAAATTTAACTACATACTAAAATATTAAGCTTGTGATTGACCTTTAAAGTAATCTGAATTCATTGATTCACTTGAAACATTGTTGACCGTCATAGAGCTTCGGTATATCACAAATATTGTCAACAAAATTATTGCGATGAATGGCAATGAATAAGCAAGTTTACTTTAAATTCATAATTGGCATAAAGACGATAAATGGATAATAAAACATGTATAAAAGCATGATTAAGCCCCTCAAGAATGCAAACCAAACCTTTAACTGGGATTCAATCGTACAAGAAAAATTAAGTTACTGAATTGTGATATAAAAGGAGGAGTATTTGTTCACCCAATATTTAAATTTACAAATTTACTAACTTATGGTTCATCAGATCAAATATCGATTACAGTTAAAAATTCCAAGGGTTTAGTTTCAACTCTGAACTCGAACTGTGTTGAAATATATTGCGCTAATTTCTCGCGATGTCAAATTGTAGTTTGTTCTATTTGTGGATGTCAGTTTGGGTTAGTAAACTGAATTTTATGCTCAGTGTCTATTTCTTTGCTTTTGTGAGTTAGTAGCTTTGTTAGACGATCAATATGTGTCGATAATGGGAATATGAAAGTTTACCTTGAACGTTAATTTGGCATTGTCTACCTGTCCGCGAATTTGTACAATGACATTTGCCATCGACACACGATCCTCCATATTTGCATTCATTAGATTTCCTGCAGTCTGAGAAATAGGACAATAAATAAATTTAAGGTAAAAAACGAGTTTAATAAATATATTTATGTAAATTAATCCGAATATCTCATGGAACTATTTTTTATTTTACAATTCGTCACGTATTCACTACGAATAGGAACTTGTACAAGCCTCCATTGGTGAGCTACCATGTTTTGGAAGTATCGAAACATTTTAGGCATTGTCTACTCAATTTATCACACCCATGGTGAGGTGGCAGGCTTTGGAGTCCTGTAACCTCCGATGCCAACTGAATCCAACGCTTTAATCCAAAATACGTGTGGTTTAATTCTTAGCCAGTTTTAGTATTTGATATTTTATCACGTATGCTAAAATATAACATAAAGTCACGTTGTTTTGATCTGATATCGACTTTTCACAAAAAAATTGCAATAGTCATTATATATCAAGTCGAATGTTTCCTGATCAATTTTTACAACATTTTCCAATTTTATACAATTTTTGGTCATCGTGAAATATGGAGTTGAATAACTTCACGTGAAGTTAACATTTAAACGCTACAATAAATTGTATAGTAATGGCTCCTCTTACACTAATTTATGCTCAATAAGGTGCATTGAACTTCGGTGAAAAAAAAGAGCCATTATACAAATAATAAATCAGGGAAACTATTAAAAATTGCGGTACAGAAAAATACATAATATCATCAAATTACTGTTTGTTTGATTCATACCATGTATAGTTTTTCAACGTAAAAATCTTTTTTGTTCATTAGTAGATTCTCACTCCAATACGATCTCGCGATTCATTTCGACAGAAAAAGAATTTATTAAAAGTCTTGTAGTGAATACCTTTATGAGGAGAATTCAAAGTACAAAAACGATGGAAGGCCACTGCAAATTTATATCTTGTATCACAAGATAAACTCACTTTTAGATAATCGAGTAATGAAATAATAATCCATTTTATTTTAGTTATATTTTTGATGTTGATACCAAGTTTTAGCTACTGAATCAAAAATACATTTCCAAAAATTGCCAAAATGATCAAATTTGGTGATCAATTTCAATATCACGAAAATTCAAGTACATGCTTGTATAACGTAGAAAATATTTTTTATGCGTTATTTAGCTGAACAGCCATATGAATCGCAATAGGAGATAGAATAATTTTCACAATATCAAGATGATACTTATATACGAGCAGATTATTTTATACAAAATAATATTTACATTTGCACTTATTTTTCGTAATATTTCAGCTATCTTTTTTGTATCAAAACAAAACTAAAATCCCTATTTCTAGCTTTGATTGACCAGTTTATTGGATATAGTTTAGTAGACTTACAAACTGACCCTTTTACGGGGATATCACAAAAGTCTCCCTTCCACTCAGGCGTACATTGACATATTTCATTTGAAAAGCCCATCGTGCCGCCGTTGAGACAAACAGGATTTTCACGTGAACATTCTGCACAAATACGAATATGATTATTAAACAATGTGTCTTTTGCAAGACAGAATGCTTGGTTACAAGACATGCTTGGTATCAAGGATAAAGAGAACAAAGATTAGAATCACAAAGACGTGTATTCATTTCTATTTATTCTTAACGTATAGCTAATCAGCGCGCATAAATTCGGTATATATATATTTTTGTCCTAAATTGATTAATGACATTGCTCAGGCATAATATGACCAATGTCAATACAATATTATTCACTCACCTGGGTCAATTTTATTAACAGAACAGTGGCAGCCCGAAACAATATGTGCAATCACTAGGACCAAGCCGGATTCAATCAAACTTACCCGTAAAGCAAGAAGCATATTATTATTTTAGCGAACTGTCAACAAATTAATATAGTTTAAAATACAGAATAAAAAAAAATTAAAGGGGTTGTACAAAGTATTTGTCATAAATTGATTGGAGACTATCTGGGCGATTTCTTACCTTGTATTGTAAATTTCATCATTTTTTTCTACATGGTTCCTTTAATTCCTTACCTGGAAATATTTTTTTTTATTATTTTCTTTGTATTTAACCAACCCTTTTAAGTTACTTCCCATAATCTCGTCGAATATCTCTCAGAAAACCTGTATGCAAAATATTACCAATGATAACCATTTTTGAAACATTGAATTCCATCGCTATGCTGTTCATTGCAGAAAATTAATTTCTTTATGACT